CTGGGACACTTTACTAAGTTTTTGGGGAACATTATTTCTAGAGTCTCATTCTTTGTGGGCCAGTGTATAGAGCTATCACATGAAGCCGTCCCAGAAGTGGGAACTTTTTAGAAAAGAATTGCATATACAAAAAACTGTTGAGACTCAAACCTCTCTGTTTCTAAATAAATTTGTATAGTAATATACAAACTATTCCATGGTTGATAAGAAATTTAAATTATCCTTTTGTACCTTTTTCTTAGGGGAGGGAGAGGTATGGATATATGTAGTGAAATGAGGTGGGGAGAAGGATTCAAATTGACACGTTAATTATGTACCAGTGAATTGGTAGCATACATGTATTACCCCATGTGTGCTAAAACCAACATATATTAATACAGGGTCCTAAAGAGTTCAGAATTCTTTTTTTTTTTTTGAATACAGGTTCTCACTACATAGTTCAGATTCATAGTGATCCTCCTGTCTCCACCTCCTTAGTGCTGGGATTACAGGCATGCACCACCACGCCCGTGGTTCTGGGGCTAGCACAATTCTGGGGATCGAACTCAGGATCTTGCACTTACCAGACAGGCACTTAATGCTACCAAGGTATCTCCCCAGGCTCCAGAATTCTTATTCTTTGGGACAGAACTACCTTTGAAACAGAATAGGCAAGAGATTGGTTTCTTCCTTTATTTAGTAAATAGATCAGTGAGAAATCAAGGTGAACTCACTTGGTGATTTCACAGGTAGAGGCCAAGTCTAATATCTCATACCTCAGATATCTTGAACATTAATTATTTAATGGTCACAGAGGAAAGCAATAGATATTTAAGGTGAAGGATAATTTCATGACCAGCTTTGGAAAACATTGCTATCTTTGGCAAGGAGGCTGAAGCTATTCTTGTTTTTTTTTCTTAGGTTAATAAAAATTTTAAATAGCTACACAGCAGCTGAGCATGAAGCTCAGAGGTAGAGCACTTGCCTAGCACACCAGAGGCCCTGGAGTCAACAGCCAATGTCTGCCCCCCAAAAAAGGGCATGGGGGGTTGGGGAGGAAATAATTGGCTCACATTCCTGAGGAAAGTACCAACCTGTGGGAAAGAAAGGACCTTCAAAAATGTAATAGCTAGGACCAGTGAGATAGCTCAGTGGACTAAGCCCCTGCTTAGCGGTACCATATGCCACACTGGCTCCACCCCTAGGTGCACTGAGCCAGCCACTGAGACAGCATGGTGGTGCACACCTGTAATCCCAGCACTGGGGAGGCTGAAAACAGGAGGATCACTATGAGTCCAAGCTGCGTAGTGAGACCCTGTACCCCAATAAATTTCAAAAAAATCTTCCAGGGTCTACTGCTCCTGATGTTTGGATTGGGTTTATATTAAAGTTCTATTTCATGCCATGATGTGGGATAAGGTCTATTGGCAGTGGTTAATTTCTCAATTGAAAAATGTCATGAGAGGTGAGGCAGGCATGGTGGCAGGGTCCTAAAATTATGGCTGTTCAGTAGGCTTAGGCAGCAGTCTTGCTTGTTCCGGGAGCTCACGATCAGTCTGGGAAATAGGCCCTATGTCATTAAAAAGGGAGAGGGATGCCTGTGTAACAAAGGGATTGTGGGGGGAGCCATCAGCTATGATTTTAGTATGTAAGGGGACCGCTCTGCTACCAGAATATCTGTGCCCATTTCTGCACACATGTATGCAGGTATGCACTCCTCCTCCTGTACTGATGGAGGCTGATACTGACCCTTTCCTGCCACCATCCTGTCTACCTTGGCATCCTGCTCCATTGAGTACTGAAAGGTAGCCTCTTGCACTGTCCAAAACTAGTTTAAACCTATTTGTCCATATTTTTAAAATTAAACAGAATCGCAGCCTGACCATTCAGCCTCCAGTAGCTTCCAGTGGCTGTCGACTGGCACATGCGCTGAGCAGAATCAAACCTGGAAATGCGTACAGATTCACCCCACGTGGCTACATGATTCAGATCGACTTTGGGGTGTGGCCTTGACAATTGGGATCTAAAAAGCTCTTCAAGTGAATCTCCCATATGCACAAGGTTGAGAACCAATAGCCGAAAAATTCTTAATTCCAGAGAAATTGAGTGGACGTTTACTAAGCTCATCCAGCATCTAACCAAGCATCATCCAGCAAAACACCAATCACTGTTGAGAGGGAAAGATAAAAAAATTGTTTCTGCTGCTTTTCAAATTTTGTTTCATACCATGGTCAGTCTATTTCAGGGTGAGTGCAGCTATGGGTTTCTAAACCCAAGTAAGGGCTTTTGGTCCAACTCAGGAACTGGGTCTATTAATTTCAAAGCTCAAATCAGGAAAGCTGTCCTGAATCCCAAGGGATGCAGGCACAGTGAGCCCTTCCAGGTCTACTGTGCATGCTCCTGGCCTGTCCCCCAGACCCTCCTCCCTGAAACTGGAGAGGGGGGTGATCTCGTAGTTGAAGGCATCTTTTGTTCTGTGTGCCCCCATGCCTAACAATGTGACTAGCACAAATAAAGCGAGTAAGATTTTTTAAATGGCATTCCTTTTCTCTCTAAACAACTGCACATGAGAGGCAGCATATCACAGTGCATGGCCCTACTGAGCCTGGGTTCGTGCCCAACTCTGCCTCCCGCTGAACATGTCACTTTGGGAAAGTACTCGACTGCTTCAGTTTCTCACCTGTAAAATGAATATGAAAAAAAAAATATATGAAACCAGATCTCATTCCACGGAATTCTTGTCAGGATTAAGACTACCTGGTAAGTTAGTAAGGCAATACCATGCCTGTGTCATCAGTGGTAACTGGTCACTGTTGCTGTTCCCTACCCATGACTAAAGATCTATAAGTTACCAAATGTAGTCTCAAGTAAGGATGTTTGAACCTGGAACCCCAGTGATCCTGGCGTATAGACCAATAGCCCAGGAATAATGATCTTCACTAATGATCAGTCTTAGTCTTCTGAATCCTTTAATACTCTGTTCTTTCCTGGGAAATGGGGGCAACGAGCAAGTCCCATAGTCAGACAATAGAAGAAAAAAAAATGCAACAAAGAATAAACCAGGAAAGAGGTTAAGGTTTGCACACTCTCCACTTCATGAAATGAGTCTTTCCATGGTATATTTCTTCAGGCTATCATGATCTCTGACCTGGTGTGTTCCAACACATTTGACACAGGTCTTCTCCACAGCGTGTTTTGCTGGTTTTAGTTGAATATCCCTGGAGTGGGGGTTCTCAACTTCGGTTGCACACTGGAATTGCCTACGGAACTTTAAGTAGGATCTACATCCACAGAGATTCTGATTTACTTTGGGCTGTGGCCTTGGCCCTAGGATTTTAATTAAAAGCCCCTCAAATGATTGTTCTGTCTGCTTAGGATTGAGAACCACTGTCCCAACAGGGCATATGGATCACTAGAGGCTGTGTTAAAAATGCAGATTCTGGCTTAGTAGGACCAAATTTAGGATCTGAGAGTCTGTATTTCCAACTTATTTCCTGGTAGTGCAGGCTTTTCTGGTCCACTGACAACACTATAGCCAAAACTCGGGAGCACGGCAGCATAATTTCCTTACTGAGTAACTGTTAGGGTTTGGGTTTAGATGTCCTTCCAAAGCCTCCTGTAGTCATGGGCAGCCTTCTAGATTGTGTGATTAATTCATGATCCAATACTGGGATTATGGGTGTGAGTCCTGTTGAGATTATAGGTATGAGTGCCATACCCGGCCTGGGGCAGATAGCCTGAATGCAATATAAGAAAAGGAAAGAGGCTTGCTCTCAGCCGCAGCTGCTCTCTTTTGGCTCTTGCTGTTTTGCTGTTTCTGCCACCACGAACTGCTGCCCTCTGCCGTGTGCCACTCTGCCTTGGAGCCAGCGGAGTACGGACTGAAACCTCCACAAACTGTAAGCTAAATAAACCTTTCCTTCCTTAATTTGGGGTGGTGTTGGGTATTTTGTCCCAGCAACAAGAGAAAAGTAACCAAGACAGTAATGTCATAGGCTTGCTCTACCCACAAAAG